ATGGTTTGTTAGGCGCATTTGATCATATTCACATGTTAATTTGCGCCTTAGAAATATTAAATATTATTTATTTTATTAGATATTTTCTAAACTTAGAAAAAAAAGGGCGAGAAGAAAAAAAGTCATCAAATTGAAATCAAAAGATGAAACGGAAACCGAAGATCAGGAGATCATTCTAAGAGAGGAGGAATATTTTTACAGAGCTTTATATGAATCGAGTAACATCAATATAGAAACACCAGAGAGCAACGCTTTCTTTGAAAACGAGCTCATCAAACCATTAAGCGATGAGAACGCGAATATTTGCGAAGGAAAAATAACTAAAGAAGAGTGCAAAAACGCTTTAAATGAAATGCGAATAGGTAAATCTCCAGACTCAGACGGCCTTACTTCTGAATTTTATAAGCAATTCTGGGATGAAATTGGTGGTGATGTCGTACAAAGTATCAACAACGCCTTTGACAAAGGAGAACTGTCGATTTGTCAGAAAAGAGGCATCATCACTCTTCTACCAAAGAAAGACAAACCCACCGATGTCCTTAACAACTTACCGCCAGTTACTTTGCTAAATGTGGCATGGACTATAAAATTGCTACAAAAGTAATAACGAATCGACTAGCAAGAGTACTCCCAGACATCATAAGCCCAAATCAAACTGGTTACCTGAAGAACAGATACATTGGCGAAAATGTCAGACTGATTTCTGATGTTATCGACTATACCAAAGCAAAGCAAACACAAAGCGTCGCCCTTTTTCTTGACTTTAAGAAAGCTTTTGATTCAATCGAATGGGAATACTTGCACAAAGTCTTGGATATTTTTAACTTCAAGCAAGATTTCAAATGATGGGTTAAGGTGTTTTACACGGATATTTCTAGCTGTGTTACAAAGAACGGTTTTGCATCCCCTTTTTTTAATCTTAAACGCGGGGTAAGACAAGGCTGTCCGCTATCAGGACTCCTGTTCGTTCTAGGAATAGAACTGCTTAATCTTGCAATTCAAATGAATAGCAACATCAA